CTCTCCTTCAAGGAACTTTGCGAATGGACCTAGCATTTATCCTTTTTTAGTGTACCTACCATAATACTCTCCATCTCTATTAGACCTCACAATCTTGATGGTCCGTTCCTTTTATTTCTCTACCTCGATCTTAAAGGTCTTAAAAGCATTAAGTGCTTCGACCTTATCATATAAGCGATAGAGATACATAAATCTAGAATGGTCATCAATTAATGAGATAAAATATCTCTAACCAATTAGGCAAGAAGTATTAAATGATCCACATATGTCGGTATGTATGATTTTAAAATTTTTTGAGCTCGTGTGGCACTTTTAATGGTCTTTTTAATTTTCTTTCCCTTTATGCAATCCACACAAGTACCAAAATCGAGTAAAATTAAGAGTGTTTAAAACTCCATCATTCACCAATATTTTAATTTTTTCAATGGAGATGTGACCTAATCTACTATGCCACAATATGGAGAAATTCTCATTAATTTTGCTCGTTTTAGCACTAATAGAAATTTTATTTTTCAAAATACTAAAAACATTTTCATTAAACAAAAATCCATAATCAATACTACGAGTCCGAAAACTGAAATCAAATTTCTAGAAAATGATGAAACATAAAAAACATTTTCCAAATCCAAAATAAATCTAGATTTTAAAATTAATCTAAAGGTCCCCACGACTTCGACTTTAGAGCGCATTTGATTTCCTAAATAGATGTCTACTTCATTTCCTTTCGGCTTCCTTGGGTCCGGAAAACCCTACATGGTATTCACAACATGGATTGTAGAACCAAAATCAATTCACCATGTATTACTAGGAGTCTCAATAAAAAAAGATTCATCACACACTAAAGAGATGAGTTTACCTTTCTTTACGAGCCACTTTTGATACTTTGGGCAATATTTCTTAACATGTACCCATTTCTTGTAGAAGGAACATTTACTATTATTGTCATTTTGCTTTATTGGCATATTTTCATGTTTCTTCACTTTTAAAACATTTTTACTCTTCTTAGAATTTCCCTTAGCATAAGAAACCAAATAAGCACTTTTAGGTTTCTCAAGTTTCAATCTTCTTTCTTCTTGAACACACGAGGTCAATAATTCATTAATTGATCATTTTTCATTATATGTATTGTAGGAAATCTTAAACGGACCATACTCCGTAGAGATTTCAAAATGAAATACACCAAGAATAACTTAGAAATCTCTACCTCTAAGGCCTTTAATTGAGCGATAACGCCCCTCATTTCCATAATATGCTTACGCACACCTTTAGAATAGTTAATGACTTGTCAAAAAGCTTTTTCATTAAGGTGTTGGCTAATGCCTTATCGGAATGAATAAATTGTTCCTCTATGGCTTTCAGAAAATCTTTTGTCTTAAATCATTAAAGGATTGAACCCCCGATACTCTTATCTATATGAGACTTGATGAGCATTAAACTTAAATGATTAGATCGCTCCCACTTGCTCATAATCAGTTTTTTCTTGTACATCACTTGAATCTATGGGGATGGGTGGTTCATCAACACGTAAGGCCAAATCTAAATCCACACACCCCAATGTAAAGAGAATATTTTCTTTTCAGCCAAGCAAAATTATCACCGTATAGCATTGGAATACTAGATGTATCAATAAAAGCAATAGGAAAAACTACAATAACCAAGAAAAGACTTTAATACTATGAAAAACATACTTTATTTAAATTAACCAATGCTAATTTAATGGTAAATTCTAACCTTCTTGAGGGTAGAGGTTTTATCATGCATAAAATTCACTAATTCTTTACGAATAAAACTAATAAATAAACTATCAAGAATAAAAAATATTCACACTCGAGGGCCTAGAATAAAATCCATTCTTAATATTAATTTATTATCTTATTCCAATTAAATCATAAAAATAGCAACCTCCTTGTAGGGCCAAGTCATTATTTTTATAAAATAATTACAATTTAAGTTGTGTACTTTATGAGCATATTAATTTAATAAACTTTAATGTGATCATCAAAATAACTTAAGATGCTATGGTTATTCCTAAGTCAATTGACATCACCATCTTAACATAACGTGATTTAATATTAACTCACAACTCTATATTGACATATCAAAATGATAATATAAACCATTTCATTATTTATTTATTATTATATTTAGCAATTTTTCTGCATATAACTTACGCTAACAAAGCCTATAATATATATGTGAAAAATTAAAGAAAAAAATTATTTACAAGCAAAGAATTAAGTCTATGCAAAATATATAATGTATGTGCATAATTATTCCAAAGTCAATAAGTATACATCATATAGACTATATTCATGCTTTATATATATAATTTGCACTCGTTATTTGTAAAAGTCAAGACCAATGTAGCTAAAGTTCACAATCACCGACCTAAAATCTAGACAACATGCCACGGATGAAAGACTTCAATAAGTCCAAGACTTATGATTCATGTACACCCTATGGATTAAGGACTTTAATAAGTCTAGGGCCATGTGATTTATATACATGCCACGGATATATATATATATATATATATATATAAACACACACACACACACACACAATTTTGACAAATTCTAGTCATACCATCTATTAAAAACAGTTTAATGTTCATGTTTTTTTTTCTACATGAAAACGGCATCAAAGGTTGATACCAAAAGGAATCTCATACGGATGGCGGCTCCAAAGAGACAATTATACCATATTGTTCAATTGCAAGCGTGTTGCATTTTTATTAAAATAGATTCTGCAGTACTAATCAAAATAGTAAGAGCAAGGCTATGATACCACATGTAAGATAATTAAATATGTCTAAACATATAAGTGTAGCGAAAATTAATACGATACATACCTCATGTCATGATTGATTAAGTGCTCAAAATGTTACTGAAAGAAAACTGGAGTCGACAAAGAGAGAAAGCCTTCTATGTCTATGCTAATACTTTAGGATTTTTTGTGTTGATAGAAAACACAAGCATTACTTACTATTTATATTACTAGACTAGGAATCCTTTTTTTAACCTAATTTTACACCTCTATCCATCATGAATGTGCTTAGCCCACTACTAGAATCCATTGGGCTCTAAGTCTTTAAATTGTTACTTATAGATTTAAAACAAAACATGACATATGAATCACATTATAGGAATATGTCTTACATAACTTAAATCCCAAATTATGAAAACTAACCTTAAATCAAATTTTTTCCCAAAAACTTGCGGCAATGGCCTTTTTTTTTTTTTTTTGGTTCGTGCTTGAGGAATTTAAAATCAATAGCAATAATCGCCTTTGTATCTCTTCATCCGCATCTCCTTTGCGACCAAACTTTTCTTTCCTTTGATTTTCAACACACACGTTCTCTCACTTGTGAAAGAATTCAAGTTTTTTTTTTTTTCCCACACATTTTAGGATTAAAACCGAAAGGTTGAGATGAGAAGAATACGTTGCCTAAAAAACCAAGTTTAAGACCACTAATTACTCAAAGCCTCGTTCACAATACAAATGAGTGTTTATTTGCGGTGACTTCGTAGTAATAAGTCTAAATTTTTATTTAGTTTTATTAGTTTTCTTAATCTATTACGGCATCCACTAGCTAAAATGTTATTTGGATTAGTAATTTTAAGGTCATTCTACTGTTTATTTCGTTTTGATTATTTTTTTCTACTCTTTTTCATCTTAATTTCCTCCCTCAATTTTTGGTTTATGTCTTAATCATATTCTTCAATTAACGTTTTGAATCATCGAGGTTAAATTGTACTCTTAACGACATAAGATTATGGCATGAGTCAATTTTTTTTACTAAATTTTTTTGAATAAATTTTGAAAAAAAAAAAAAGAAAAGAAAAAAGAACAACTAGACATTTGCTACCAAACTGTTTTTTATTTTTATTTATTTTTTAAAAAAATTGATTTAAAAGTAACTAGAAATTTGCTACCTCGAATTCATTTTTTAAAATTTTAATAAATAAATTTTGGAAAAAAATAGAAATTGTTACTGGTTTTTTTTTCAAAATTCATTTAAAATAAGTCAGAAATTCTCTATTTTAAATTTATTTTTTTCTAAGTTTATTGAAAAAAATAGGTAAAAGAATTAATTAGCACATGTCGTTATCTTGTGACACTAATGATGAGATTTAGCATTATTAACTCAAAACGTTAAAAAAAGAGAGACATGATTAAGATAGAAATCAAGTATTAAAAGATAAAATTAAGACAAAAAATAAAAAATATATATAAAGAGTAAAAAAATCCCAACAATAGTTAAACCACTCTTATTTTATTAACAAAAGAAAACGTTTAATTTGTTACATGTGACATGGTTTCCATAAAATCTCGTACGTTTTTTTAAATCAATAGGATATGGTTGACCTACATCAATCCACATAATATACAGTGGCCCCCACTTTATCTACTAGTGATGATACAAATGGGAATGCGATGATGGTCAAAAAATGGCATGTAAACATGGATATCACATGCATAGGCTAAGAAAGGGGTTGTCCTTTCATCATCACGTTCAGAAAACCAAATTTTCACTACCTATCATCATCTAGAAATTGATTTGGAACCAGACATGGAAAGCGTCAATGAAATGAAGTAGCAAATTCATAAGATAAGGGATGATGATATCCCAATAAATAGAATTTCCATCATTTTCTTTACAAAATGGGATCTTACACTGTTGTTTCCAATCCCAGAATTTGATGCTTCGAAACATATTGAACAAAAGGGATTGATGAACATTAGTGTCAGATCCCAACGAAACAAGAGGAAAAAAGAAAAGAAAAGGATGGCCAAATAAAAGCTAATCCACTCTTGAAACATCTGTTTATCTGCATTTGCTGGACTCAAAAGCAACAGAATAAAAATATAAACTACCAAGCCAAAAGGGGGTAAATAACCACAAGCTAAGCATTCAAAGCGAGAGTCATCAACCCTATCACAACCACCCGCTAACAGACTGATATCACTAAACACAAGACTTCCTTTGCCTTCCCTTTCTACCGTCCATCTGCCGAAGTAAATGAATCTGCAAACCCAGATGGCCGAGTAGGTATACTAGTCTGGGTATTATCCCCACTTGGAGGAAATGAAGAGCTGCTTCCATCAAATGCCTGCCACTTCAGCAATACTTCAGGCAAGGGCGTCTCAAAATCAATCCCATACATATCATCAGAATCTGGTTCTGCTGGTTTCCAAAACTCAACAAGAGAGGACAGAACATTAACCACATGACCCATGTCTGGCCGCTGGTAGGGCTCCCTTGCAGTGCAATGGCCTGCTAAATCGGCAACAGTGCTAATGCTACCAAGGGTTTCCTCATCGAGATTAATAGTTGGGTCAATGGCCTTAATGAATGTGTCTTTGTTGATGTGCATCCTACGGAACCAAGTAACAAGATGAAAGCTTTCCTCAGGTTGGGTCTCATCAAGTGCTTTTCTTCCTGTGATCATCTCCATTAATATGACTCCAAAGCTATACACATCAACCTTGGTAGTCACTCGACCAGTCACTGCCAAGGCATACAGAAAATTTTTGGTTTAGCTCCTACAGGATTGATTTTTGTCGAACAAAAGATACAAGAATTCCTTTAAAATTCTGAGAAGACTAGACAAGAAGACTGAACATTCATCATTTGAAAAGCAAGAGATTTATTTGGTTGCCAGTGACCCACTGGAATTGAAAACCAAGAAAATAAAATAAAAAAGAATGACCAGCTAACTTCAACATGAAATAGGTAACTGACAGTAAAAAGATTAGATATTTTCCAGTTCAGTGTGCCCCACAAATACAATAAAGCAAAGTGAATCATTCAACTCAGCTAATGCAGTATGCTACCCATTAGCATAAGCATGTATCAAACACTAAGATCATAATAACCAAAATTTATGTGTCAAAACAAGGACCAAATGCTGTGTAGGGGCCTCTTTTATAATCGTATGAAATCTTGTACTTCTATATCTCCAAACGTTACACAAATCATAACGGTACCATGGATCAGGGTTGCAAAACATGACACATGAAAGATCATCATCATTTTTACTACACTAGGTTTATTTCCTTTATTCATTTTCTCCAGTAATTTTAAGTAATATCATGGAAAATAGTTTTTCATTGATGGAGGGTAAAATCTAGTGTTGGTTCTGCAATGTTTCAGCTATTATAAGCCTACATGAAAAGGAATTTCAAACAGAAAAATCCAACAAATAAAAAGGAGAAAAAGTGTCAAACTGAATTGCAATTCATTGCTGTACCCTCCCCCGTCCTACTCATGCTTTTTATTCACTCAGTTATGGATTTTCTCACAAACTAATGTTTGTCTATTCTTTTATTGGTTACTCTACAATAAAAGAACAAAATAACTCTAGGCATGCAAAGTATGAAAGTTGAAAATTTAGTTACCTGCATATTCAGGAGCAAGATATCCAAAAGTTCCAGCTAGTCTCGTTTCAATTGAAGCTTTCCCTTCTGGAGCAAGACGAACCAATCCAAAATCAGCCACTTTGGCCCGCATATCATCTCCTAGAAGAATATTGGAAGGCTTGAGATCCCTGTGAATAAAACTTTGATGTGCTAGCCCGTGTAGGTATTCAACGGCTCTAGCAACATCCAAGCCAATAGTTAATCTTCTAGTCCAGTCAAGAGGTTTGACACCCTCCTCCTTCCCACTAAAAAGATGACTGCTAAGAGTCCCCTGAGGCATATATTCATAAACAAGAAGCCTTTCATTTCCATCCAAGCAATATCCTAGAAGGGCGACTAGATGGCGGTGTCGAACCTTTGTAAGCACTGCAATCTCGGACATGAACTCTGCTAGACCTTTCTCGCTAACCACTCCTGACTCCATCCTCTTCACTGCAATTTTTGTTCCATCATGCAATTCCCCCTTGTATACAGTCCCAAATCCACCCCTTCCCAAAATATTTTCTTCACTAAAATTATTAGTAACATCTCTTAAAACTTGAATTGAGATCACCATTTTTTCAGTCCTGACCACATGAATGTCACTGGGTCCAACACTATCAGTGAAGCTCTCAACTCCACTATCTGCACTTGATCCAGCAACAGTGATTTTCACCGCATCCTGATCCCCTGAATGGCGAGGGTGAATAATCATCGTATTTGGACTCTGAACCTTACTAGATCGGTTTCGTTTCCTACTATAAAAGAATACACCTAACCCAACCACACATAAACCGCAAACAACACCAATCACAGAACCCATAATCTTTCCAGTAGCCGAATTCTTGTTTCCACTATCATCAGAACCACCACCTGGACCAGCAGGCGAGCTAGGTGTACTTCCAGGAGTACCGGGGGGAGCATAGCTACTGCTATTCTTTCCAATATCAGGATTTCCACCATATTGCACTTCCACGTTACTTCTAAACTTAGGAATTTGACCATAGAGTCTGTTGTTGGAAACATCTAATAAATTAAGACTAGACAAACTTGTAAGCTCATCTGGTATGGTACCAGTAAGCATGTTATCAGAAAGAATCAATTTCTGCAGTTTCGAAAACAAAGAAAAATCTGAAGAAATGGTACCAGTAAGTCCTGCTTTCTTCAAGTTAAAAACCAAAATATCCCCTCCAGCACAAGTAATTCCTTTCCAGGCATCGGTGGATGTGCAAGGATCATTTCCTTTCCAAGTATCAGCAAGACTAACAGGGTATCCAAAATTTTTCGCAACCGACAACAAATCATTAACACGAGCATCACAAACAACACCAGGAGCATCCAAACAAAAACGATTAGTCCCAGGAATCATATCCACAGAAACTGCATCCGCAAACTTGGGCGTTGGTCCCTGGAACTTATTATTAGTGAAATTGACAACACGAAGCTCAGAACTGTTCTGCAATGACGGTGGAACAACACCCGTGAAGCTATTGTCCCTTAAACCCAAAACTTTCAAGGATTTTAATCCAGACAAATCAGGCAGAGGACCCGTAAAATAATTTCCATGGAGCCAAATTTCCTCCAATAAAGTCATGTTTTGCAAGATAGAAACAGTACCATTTAGCCTTGAATTACTCTTTTGGCCATTAAGCCACAAAGACCGTATAGTAGACCCGGAAAAATTCTGTGGCAATCCACCCTCTAAATAATTTAAAGCCAAATGCAACTTTTCCAAGCTAGGAAACACAACGCTGTTAAAAAATTCTGGGACTTTGCCAGCTACATTAGCACCATTCGCCGAGAATTCTTTCAAAAGACCAGCATCTTTGAGACTCTCCGGTATCTCCCATGATTCAAAGGGATTGTAATCCAAATAGACGGTGGTTAACGACGTCATTCCGGCGAAAAAATCAGGAGGAATTGAAGAGAAATTGTTGTTATGTAAAAGGAGGACTTGGAGAGAGATTAACCCTGATAAACTCGGTAATGAACCCGTTAACTGGTTGGACATGACCTCGAACTGAGTTAACTGAGTCAAGTTTTTAAGTTCCGGGGGAGTGTACCTTGTAAATTCTGCTTGCCTATTTGGATCCGGGTGACCCGGTTATTTGAGCAACCCACGAGGGGCCATTTACATGGGTCGGAGCCAGACCAGCCAAGAGTAGATGATGATTTGCCAAGGCTGTCTCTCAGTTTCAGCATGGCTGCTGCGTCGTCGTTTTGCTGAGAATTGGCTAGACATAGTAGGGAAAGAAAGAGTGAGATATGTGTTAAAAGCCAAACACCCATATGGTGTTCCGGAGAGTGAGAGAGAGGGGGAGGTTCGTTTTTTTAAAAAAAAAATTTCTTTCAAGAGAGATGGGATTACTCTGCTAGGGTTTATGGGAGCAAAGAAAAGAGATTTTTTTTTTTTTTTTTGAGAGAGAGAGAATTTTGGCAGATAAAACGGCGGAGATGGAGGGAGGGAGTGAGAAAGAAAAGCGTACGTTAAAAAGATGAAACCTTTCTTTATCCTGAAAGGGTTGTTTTGGACTGAAAACGCCATGGAATTGATGAGTGTTGTTCGGATTTTCTAATTCTACATATCAGGCATACAGTTGGCACATGCGTGTGGGACCTACCATTGTTGGGTGGGTCCAATCTAGCCTGTGTGTTGTTGGTTTTTACGTTTTGGTCCACAAAGAGCTTGGTCTTATGTTTGGAGAAAAACGTTAGAGCTACGACTCCAGGGTCCAGTGATTATAGCAAGCAGAAGGATCGATGAATCATTTCTGACTTCCAATTATTTTTTTATAAACACCTTCTAAATCCTGAATTTAGACATATAAAAGTCTTATGTCAATACTAGTAGGACATTAAAGAAATATTGAATCTGATACCTTTAAAATATTAAAATATAACACATTGATAATTAATGATTAAAATAATAAAGAGTGGGTCGGTTACTTGTTTTGTTTTGGTTTCGTCTAAGAATTTGGGATAGTATGGGATAGTGATAGAAATATTTAATTTTTTTTTGACTAAAATTCTTTGTTAAGTGATATAATATAATGTAATTAATATTTTAAACATGATAAAATTTATATTATATGATTTGAAATTATTTTCTTATAATAAATGTCAAATACCTTAATAAGAGTAATTTACTAATAAAAAAATAAGTACTCCCAGTATTATCTAATTATATATTAATATAATATGATATTTTTAACTCGTTAACTTATGTTAGTGAGACCTAGACTATATATGAAAATCGAGTTATTATATAATAGATTAATTTTTCAATTAATTCTTAAATTTTAAAATGTTTTCAATTTGCTCTTATTATTTGATCTAGTTTCCAATTTGTTATTTCGATTAAACTATCTACAAATATCACAGAATCTGCACAAGATGGTTATTATTATGACAAAAACAACTCTTGTAGTTTAACATGTTGAGTTTTGAATCTCTTCTTATATAATTTATTGAATTTTCAATTTATTCATATTGCTAAGAAGTCCACTATGTTATTGTTAATAATTTTTATAATGATTTATTGCATTATAGTGAATTTCTTATTAATTAAAAGAAAATAAAAATAATAAGTACAAGTTAGTATGTATTGTTGAACGAATTAAAAAAACAAATGATTTCGATGAAGTAGTTATTAATTAGTATATTAAGCATATAATTAAAAAAACAAATAATTTCATATTTTATTTAATTATTTATTTTTCACACGTGATTCACATGTTTTCTTATATAAAGATAATTTAATATATTGGTAAATATTATATTAATTTGTTCAATGTTATATATAAGTGAATTATTATAATATAATAGACTCTTTAGTATTAAAAATATGTTAAATAACAATTTTTTGAAGAGTTATATAATAACTTATGCTAATTATTTTTATATGTTTTTAATTAACATTAAATTTGCACCACGTTATTAGGAAAATTAATAACAATAATATAATGGATTGTTTAACATTAAAGATAAACTGAAAAGCCAACTCAACATATCATGTGCAAGCCACGTGATATTTTCGAATGGTTTGATCGAAAAAAATTAATCAAAATGGTAGATTAGAAATCAGCTCAAATAATAAAGATAGATTAGAATCGTTTTAAAATTTAAGAACATATTGGAACTTGACCTATTATACAAGGACAAATAAAAACATTAACCCTACAAAAATCATTAATTGTTTTTCAAAGTTTAAATAATATTTATTTGGCAAGTTGTCAAGGAGAATCAACTTTATAATATTGCCGATTCTCTAGTTAAAGGAAGAATATAGAGCGGAAAATTTTAATTTTCTTTGGCAATATTACCCTCATTTCCCACCCCATCTTTATGAAAGATGCAATGCATGTTGAACGAATTTCGGTATGGAAATAATTGCGTATCTGTTTTGAATATCATAAATTGTTCTTGTCTCTTATTTATTTATCTAAAAAATCACAAATCATGACTGGTTTTGAGAAAAAATACGAGTAAAAAGATGTGCACATGATTGGGTTTCCAAGGCAATCCGGGCAAAATGACTCACATGGGAGAGTAAATTTAGAGAAACGAATTAATTAATTAGTTTTATTTTAAAAATTAATTATTTAGTTCTTTCACGAATGTTAATCAAATTTAATTTTATATTATTTTATTTTAAAAAATATTTTTTTCTCATCAAGATCTTCATAGTATCTATTTTTTAAAAAAATAAAAGACAATACAAATTAAAAAAATAAAATGGACAAAAAAATTAAATAATTAATTTTTAAAATTAAAAAATTAATTAATTAGTGTATTTAAACCAGAAGAAATAACTTATAGTTTACTCCACATGCGACAGCAAAAAATTGACCCAAAAAAAAACAGGTGCGCATGTGGGATATTATAAGGCTTGCGTAATTGCACTATACATGGACAGAGTCCTCTTTGAATTATATCTACCAAAAAGGGAAAATCGAGGCCTTTGGGATGCATCCAATGAATGAATAAAAGATGAGTTCAGGAGACCATTTTAATGCTGTCAAATCCAAAACTAACCCCCTCGATTACCACATGCTCATATTATTGTTTTGAAAAAAACATTACACATTTCTCTAAGGATGATGATTCGTAAAACGAATTTCTTTTATTGAAAACATCACAAATATTCATGTGAAATAAATCGTCAGTAAAATGAAATAAATTATTGTTGCTACTCTTTGACTGCACAGTGATGGTAATCCTTTGTTCTAAAATCACACCTCACCCTTAAATTTTAAACATGAACTTTTTATTAGAAATCCCTGACCATTAATTGTGCCTTTATAATCGACAAAAAAATTAACAAATAATATTTATTTAGGTTTTAGTTCAAGGCATTATAATTATAATATTTTTAATTTATTAAATAATAAAATGGTGTTTACAATATAATAAGTACAAATATTTATTAGTTCGCAATCACTAATAAATAGTTTATTTACAACTTACATATTTTGAAATTATGTTTAATTGTTCGTAACTATTATAATTATAGAGTAATATAATTTTTTTACTATCTATTTAACAATTGCGTTATTATTTATTTATTACGAAATTATAGTATTTATTTTCCTTTTGAAAATAACAATGTACTTTTTGAGTCATAATTATACAATAATTTTAATATCTAGCATAATTGCAAAATAATTAATTAATTTTCTGAATGATTAGAATATTTAATTAAATTATTACGATACAATAAATAAAAAATAATTTGTAATTTAAACACATTATGGTGTCTTAAAGTAACCATAACAAGCCTCCTCTTCAACAACTCAAGGCATGTCAATGAGTTGTGTAGCCTGTTTAAGTCGAATTTAATTTGATGGGCTAGTGCTCGGCCTAAAAATCGCACTGGAAGATAGAACTAGTCTTCGAATGGGCCTATGGCTTTTCAGGCCAGAACTATGGCTGGGCTAGTGAGCCAAGAGTTGGGCAAGGACAACGTATATATATTTATTTTCGAAATAAATATATTTTTAACTTTTTATGTGAAGTTAAGAAAACCCTTTACTCACAATGTTGTCCTGTGGATCTTATATATTTCTTTACTTTTTAGTTATTGTATTGACATCGAGTAAGTACTGTTAAATTTTAAACCAATCATCGAAAAAAAAGCATGTGATTTTATCAATTTTTATCACTTTGATGTGCTCGATTGAAGGGGTAAGAAATTTTTACATTATCACTTTGATGCCCGCCACTATATATATGACCCTTCTGCTTCGCTGTTAATAAATTGCATAACCATCCACAGCTTTGATTCTTTTGAGATTCTAATAGAATTTACCTTTTAATACTATTGAGAAATTTTATAATATACAAAAGGTAATTGGTAGCATATATAGTTGTTACTCCTTTAAAAAAAAATTACATCCATACTCACTAAAAGTGATAAGAATATTTTCATATCCGTTTAAATTTTTTTATTTTCTCTCTCCTATTTCTCTCTTTCTCTTTTTTTTGTGTCTATCTCTATCTTTCTCTTTTTTGTGTCTATCTCTTTCTTCAAAGTGAGCTTAATGAGTAATTACTCGTATATGTTACTAATTACTCCTGGTGTATTATAAAATTTCTTCTATTATTTTTAATTTCTTAAATCAATTTATACAATAATCAAAATTAAGTATTCTCTTTAAATACTAAAACAAGTGTTATGACGACTTATCCAGCTCACACAAGAAACAAGTACAACAAAAAAGGTCTTCATATTACACCTATGTCAAATATCCATCAGCATTCAACAATGCTAGCATGGATTTTGACAAATCTACTTGGTGAGGTTACTTAATTTCTAATTATGATTGGTTGTATTTAGAGTGGTGGTGCTTGGTGTTGGTCGCGAAGGATGAAAGACTTGCATTTTAAGTTTGCTTGATTGGATGGAGAATCTTCCAACGATCAAGTTAGTATAAAGACCAAAAAAAAAAAAAAATTATTTAGAAGCATAGTAGTAACAAGGGAAGAAATTTAAAGTCATTAACTTTAGGTCTTTTGACTGTTTATATAGGTAAGAGACTTGTCAAGTTGCATAGTGAGATAAATAGAATTGTCTATTCATTTACTGCCAACAACCTTTGATACTATTTCGAGAATAAGTATTTTTGATGTTGACATGTCACTATTAGACAACTATGATGACATCATTGTTGGTATGGGTTAGATAAAAATAATTTTGAGATCGTGTTTTTATTTATTAAACATACTTTATATTCCTTTCGATTGATGGGTATTAGCCTAACTCTTTGGATTGCGATTGATCGATTCTTCTTTTAGAGTATCTTTCTTAATGATATAGATACTCTAAAATAATATTTTTAATCTTCACTTTAAGTAATGTGTCTTGTTTTAGTTAAGTGTTATTTTTAGTTTGCTATTACTTGTTAACATTAAATGACTATTAATTTATAAAAAAAAACATAAAAAAAATTCCTTCATTTACTACCAATAACCTTTGATACTAGTTCGAGAATAAGTATTTTTGATGTTGACATGTCAACTGTTGAACAACTATGATGACATCATTGTCGGTACGAGTTAGATAAAAATAGTTTTGAGATCGTGTTTTTATTTATTAAACTACTTTCTATTCCTTTCAATTGATGGGTATTTGCCTAAACTTCGGATTGTGATTGATCGATTCTTCTTCTAAAGTATCTCGCTTAATGATGTAGATACTCTAAAATAATATTTTTAATCTTCAATTTAAATAATGTTTCTTGTTTTAATTAGGTGTTATCTTTTTTAGTTTGCTATTACCGTTAACATCAAATGACTATTAATTTATAAAAAAAAATTCCTTCATGTAGCGATCCATTAGCGAGTCGAATTAGCTACTAAAATTAAATCTTTTTGCAATGAATACATATACTATGGCTAAATAGTGATGGATGCAAGGATGGATTTGTGAGAAATTTTAACAAGTATTATTTAGCGATAGCAATATGGGAAATAAAAATGGTTCTGCGATAGAATTCGGACTTGAAAGATGGTTTACTTTAATTTTTAACGACGAAATGCTTCACATTATCGATGGATAACTCGTCGCTAATCAGCGATGGATATAATTTTTTGTTGCTAAAAAATGGCAACTACAATCTTAGCTATTGAAAAGCATTGTCACAAATGCATCATTAAATGTAAATAGCGATGGAAAATGATGATTTAGTGACGAAAAATTTCATCATTATTTAAGCTGTTTTCTTGTAATGTTGGGGGATGACTACTCCTACTTGTTTAGTTCAAGAGCTATGAACTTCTTAATGAAGAAAAAAATATATATTATTTTCAAATATAATCATCAATAACATGAAAATATGTACTCTCTTTGTTCCAAAGTGTTTGTCCTCTTTGACTTTTCGCAAAGTTTAAAAGACATTAATTATAGTTTTTTGTTTTTATTTTGCTAAAATAACTTCCAAACATTTATTGACTTTTTATTTAGTAAAAAATAGAAATGAATAAAAGAATTGATTAGGGGTATTAAAATTTTGACCGGACAATCATTTTGACTCGGATATAAATAGAAAGATGGACAATTTTTTTTTGGCAGATGGAGTATTAAAATATAGTGATTTCGATGATGTTGGTTATTCACATCATTACAAGTTTATAAATAACAATTATAAGAAATAGAATACGAAAAATTATTATATCTAAATTTTTAGTTAATGAATAATAAAAATTATTATGTTAAACACTTAACTTATTTTTTAGTAAATGAATACTTACATCTTGTAATTGAAAACAATATTAAAAAGCATCACGTTACTTAAAGAGTGCGTACTTACCATAAAAGTTGATCTATTTATCTCTCTATATAAGGGGTGTTCTCCATACGTCCATGAAGGGGGAAAAAAACCAATCAATCGAAACTTGAATATTGGAATAGTTTAAAAACGAAAACTTACCTACATGAGAAAAAAAAATCCTCTCAAAATGTTTAAGGGTGGACATAATAACTTATGGATGAATGTCACTCCCTTCAAAGATCAACTTAAACTAAAAATTGCCAATAAGACAAACAAAATTACATTAACTCTAAGTATCAATCAAGGTGTACATGCTAATTGATGGTTATTAGATTAATATCTTAAAATACAATTCACTAATATATCATATTTAATTACCAATAACTAATCCCTTAATGAATTCCTTTGAGAACACCCTAAGCTGAGCATCTCACTAAAACTCCACCTTTTTAATGAAAATGTTTTACAAAAGAAAGTTAAAAAAATTTTACGGTTTAAAGGCATTTGATTTCTGTTTTATTATAATTTAACAATTTCATATCTTTAGTACCAAATCACATAAATTCAACCCCAAATTATTGATTTTTGGAGAAAATTGACTCAATTTTCTTAATTGTCGTTATATGCAATAGTCAACTAAGTTGGTTGTTACTTAAAATGTCAAAACGACGTTATTTTATCATTTTGTTATTAATGACGATTAGAAAAAATATTTTAAATTTTTTTTTAATCCATCTAATCTTGAACTTTTTTAGAAACTTTTTTTCGTATAAAATATTATAAAAATTTAATAAACTATATAAAAAAAATTTTAATCCATCTAATCTTGAACTTTTTTGAAAACTTTTTTCTTATAAAATATTATAAAAATTTAATAAATTATATAAAAAATATTTTATAAATATTTTTAACCCCCTAATTTTGAAATTTTTTAATAAAATTATATGAAAATTTTATAAATTATATAAAAAAAATTTATAAATATTTTTTAACCCCACTAATTTTGAAATTTTTTTGTAAAAAAATTATAAAATATTATAAACATTTTATTAAAAATATTTTTAGAATTTGTAAAATTAGGGTGTTCAATCTTTAATTATGCTCATTTTAATTTATAGAATATTGTTTAAAGGCCTAAAATTGTGTATTGTTAATTATGTTTTTTTACAATATTTTTTTATAAAATGTTTATAATATTTTATAAAAAAAGTTCAAAATTAGTAGGTTAAAAATATTTATAATATGTTTTTTTATATAATTTATAAAATGTTTATAGAATTTTATAAGAAAATTTTATTTAAAAAAATTCAAGATTAGCGTGGTTAAAAATATTTTTAAAAAACTTAATTAGCAACATAATGTCAAAACGATATGGTTTTAGTATTTTAAGTAATGATCAATCCGGATGTCCGTTACATTTAACGAAAATTAAGAAAATTAAATCAATTTTGTTTGAAAATCAAGAATTTTGGGTTAAAATTAAATGATTTGATACTAAACGTCTAAAATTATCAAATCACAATAGAATAAGGGTAAAATTTACCATTAAACTTGAATTTTACACAAACAAGAGGTAGAAAAGTTGATGACCCAGAAGTTGAAGAAAATTACGTCATCTTGTACATTTCGTTATATTCATGTTATGTAGCACTATCGAAGAAGAAAAGAAATTGACGATTTGATTCGAGCAAAAACAATTGAACTGTTTTGGTAAAGAAATTTGAAACATGAACTTATTAATAAACTATAAATGGCGTAGAACTTAGTATTTGGTATTCTGCTTAATTAGTAAAGTTATTTGTAATTTTCCCATAATATTTCTAGCATAGAATAGATAAAATATAGCCCACCCCATCATGGTCTCAAGCTTCCTGTCACAACGCACAAGTTGCAGTAGCTACCATTATGAGAGAAGTAATGCTGAGCTTTTGTTTCGCAACTACGTACGTACTTTCAACAAATGAATGGTAGGGAGGAGAGTTCCAACTAGAAAAACGTCTACATTCAAAAGTTTTCAAGCAGTAATAAAGGGAATATACAGAAAAGTTTTCCTGCCCACCGAAGGGACAACAGAGAAAAATTTTCATTGAGCATCAACTTCTATATCACGACTTTGAAAACTATTTTAATGCATTTGATGGTTAAGACGGTAGTTTCTCAGTCAAAACATAAGGCCATTAATTATCCCAAGGCAATGCACATGCAATGATGCAAATGGTTTCGCTCGACTACCCACCCTTCTACGACAACGCAACGTCTGGTCAATAAGTCTCGTGGAATATGTAACAATACAAATCAAGGGGGTGGAGACTCCTCAGCAACAAGAAAAGAAAAAAGATTTACAACTTTTGCTTCTCCCCCTTCCAAGGATCTATACATACAAGTAGGGATGGAAATCCTTTAGTAGTATACATGTACTCAGCTTCTAGTCAAGTTAAAAGTACTGAAGTTGGTTAGAAATGATTGCCCGAACCTGTAATTATTTTCAATGAAGGATCGTCAAAAATCCAAGGAAACCAACATTCACGATCCACTTGAGACCAAGTGCACCAGCAGGTGATTCAAAATTGCTGGTTCAGATCAACCAAAGAAACTCTCCGATTTAGATTTTCCCCAGTTCCCACGAGGCAAGGGGGATCCTATTGTGACTTTAATGTGGATTTGGTGTCAAAGAACTTAGCAACTGCCTGATAGAGATTTTCTTCCTCAAAAGGCTTTGACACATATCCATCCATCCCACATTTCAAGCACTCGTCATGCGTGGCATGTATCACATCAGCTGTCATGGCTAATATTGGAATATGCCACTGACCTTTTACAGCTGTTCCTTCTTCTACCATGGATTCACCATTCATCTGCTCATTTGCCTGGCTCTCCATCTGCCGGATACGACGAGTTGCCTCAAACCTGGAGGAGAAAACCCATGTAAATGGTACTTAGAATGTAAATGTCATGCAAAGCACGGCAAACACACTTGCTTTTATGTTGTTGATGCCTTGCAATAAACTCTGTTAAGTATGCTTAAGTAGTGGTAGAGAATATGGTTCCTAAGCCCCTAGATCACCAATTTGTGTATCCTCCTAGGCATGAAACTTACCGACAGTAAAACCTAATTCCTTTTCAATCAGGCAAAAAAAAAAAAAAAAAAGTACAAGAACCGGACAACCTGGATCTCCAGACACAAGGACCACAAATGCCTTTGCATTCCCACTACTTCTCTGATCCTATGCTCTGCTTGCACAAATATGACCGGCATGTCTAGGCATGGCTACTTCTAGCCAAAACGATTGCATTGCTTCTTGCAATTAACAAATTGGAACAGCTAAAAACACACATGAACTAATGATTTCTCCATGATGAACTAAAGTTTCTTATGTGATATTGTTACATGATGCCAAAAAGGTTCATTAACGAAAAAAAGAAAGAAAAAGAGAGAGGTAATCAAAGCATCGACCAGTTTATCTTTTATGAGAATGAGGTATAGACAAATAATTTCATTCTATAATCAACCAAGGAAGAAGAGTCAATAAATAAAGGACATTGCAATTCTAAAATCATAAAACTAAATCTCGAAGACATACCCATCCATTTCTGGCATTTGAATATCCATGAAGCATGCATCAAAAGTGTGCGGTAGTTGAAGCAATTTGAGTGCTTCTTTACCACTTTCAGCACACTCAACATCAGCTCCAAACTTCTTTAATGCACCTGCAGCAACTCTGCGGTTTACCCTATTGTCATCAACCACCAGAATTTTCTTTCCACAGAGAAGGCTCTGAAGGAAAGAAGACCCATTGGGAATGCCTTTCCCTTGTGACCTCTTCTTGCCCATACCCAGCACCTGCAGAAGACATGCAGCCACCATACTTGCTCTCAAAGGTTTCATGATCACGGTATCAGCAAAACCTGCTGCCTTTGCTTTATCAAATTCAGAATTGGTAATATTGGTAGCAAGAAGGATCATCTTAGGAAACTTGAATGCATGCCTGTTCTGTTTCCAGTCAAGTTGCCATACGCTAGAAACACTATCCTCCCCAGAAATCCAAGTATCCTTCTCGACTAAAATTATATCTGGCTGGATTTTACTACTGCCATTTAAAAGAAAGAGGTTACACCAAGCACAAAGTAGCATGCAATTTAAATTTCAACAAAATGTAAATGTAGGAACTCTATCAATGATCCATTTTTATTAGCTACTTCATGAGCTATCTTTTATGAAAACTAATATTTGCTAAGTTTTCGATTCAGGACAATTCTTTTATGATTGCTATGTCAGCAAAAACTACCAAGTGCTGAACATAATAGAAGTGCACTCTCAAGAATTCAGGAGACACTCCATACGAGTATGATTTTCTTTGACTATCCTATCAATGAAAAGCTCAACCAAAAAGCTTACATAATTAAGTGAAGGACAAAGATAGGCTTTTATACTTGGCCAAACAGTACAAACCTCTCCTAAACTTTAAGTCATTTGAAAATCAGTCTCAACTTCTAATTTCAGATTGAACCTCCCTCCAACTATTTTTCATTTGAAATTTGATCATTCTATTAGTTTTTTTTTGTCAATTGTAGTGTGCAAGTGTAGTTCTCCAACAGCTAAAACCATGCTAAAAACTATGGATGTTTTGCTTTCCCCTCCTAAACACTAAGAAATTAGCAATTAAATAACATTTTAGAATGGAAGAAACAAGTTTTGAAAAGAAGAAGAAGAAGAAGAAGCAAAAAATCCATAAGTTTTGACACACTTTTAGCTGATAGGGAAGCTAAAAAGTCAACCACCTGCAAATCATGTGTATTTGTTCCATTAGAATTGGCGAAACCTAACAGAATGATCCAATTTCAAATAAATAGTTGGAGAGGTTCAACCCAAAATTAGAAGTTGAAGGACTGATTATCAAATGACTTAAAGTTCAGGGAAGGTTGGACCATTCAACCCTTATACTTTTAACATGCTCTTTCACGTAAAAACCCTGCTGCAATTAAAGTATGGCTTACGTGTAAGCCTACTGCTACATTACTATTAAACTTTTATTGTAAACATCGGAACTCATTCTTGACAGTTAGGTCGAAAAGGAAGAGAGGAAAGACAAAATCCATCAACCATCCCCAAGAAACACCTCAGTGAAATAAAGCTTTGGTAGAAATCTTGGCAAAAACTCAATGACAAATAAGCATTCCCAATAATGTTCCTATACAAATTCTAAATGAAAAACACAGTGCAATCAAATCTTGGGCAGATGATGTGCATCACAGCAGCAAATGATGTGAAAACAAACCATTTCTAAGTTAAAATACAGGGAGGCCACATTCTAGTAAGCAGGCTTCCCCTTCTGAAAACACAAAGTGGCATGAAAAGTGGAGTGATTAACATGGTTTTTGATTAAGATCATACCAAAAGGCAAACCAAAGACATCGGTGATTGGCGAAAAATTCACACATGTTTCTTGTTATTCATTCGAACCTTTCAATTTCTTAATTAAGTGAAAATGGTTAGGGAAAAAGCCAACCAAATGAACTTACCCAAATGTTAGAGAACCATTTTTCCCACAGCTACCACCAGCCCCCTTGAGGTTACTTACAACTTCAGCTAGAATACCAAGCCTCTTCAAATGGTATCTGGTTACAGTAGCCCTCACTGGATTTCCATCAACTACTAATGCTTTCAATCCTCTAAAGCCAGAAGGCAAATCTTCAGCATTGCGTTTTTCCATTTTGTTGAATGCATTTTTCTTGCTTGTCCCAAAAACAGCAGTGAACGAAAATGTGCTTCCAATCTCAGGCCGGCTAATAAAGCTTATTTGACCACCCATGAGCTCAACCAGACACTTACTTATACTCAATCCAATTCCAGTTCCTCCATAATGTCTGGAGGTTGAACTGTCTGCCTGCACAAAGGGCATGAAAACACGACCCTGGGCTTTTAAGGGGATGCCAATTCCTGTATCCTCCACACATACCATCAAAGTAACATCCTCAGAAGCTTCATTGCTGGTCGTTACATTTATTGAGGCATCAAATCGGAAATCTTCATCAGAAAAATGCTTAAAGAGATCCCAACTGTTAGGATCATCTGCGGCTTCACAACCACTTAAGGTTTTGAACTTTTGGGAACCTGATATAAGCACACTTTCATTGGATCCACCATTTAAACAAGTGGCCACTCTTGTATCAGTAGTGGCCTTGGCATGTTCATATAGATGAACTTTAACGAATATGTGTCCTCTTTCAGTGAACTGTCAAACAGAATAAAAAGTCGACTATAACAGGAGGTAGAATTCTAAAGAAGGCAATAAAGCTAATGGTGAAAAAAATCATTGGATTAATCATAAACTGCATAGTAAAACATAATGTTTGTGCTGAGACAAACCTTTATCACTATTATTGCCTAATTGATAAAAGAACTAATAAGAAATAATACAGATATATTCTGTTAGGTTGAACTGTATAACAAAATTCAAGCAATACACTTACCTTAACAGAGTTCCCCACCAGATTTGTGATAATCTGTCTGAATCTCCCAGGATCGCCAACAACAATTTCTGGAACTTTGTCAGAAACAAATACTGCCAGCTGTACTTCCACAATTGATTATACAACCGTGTTTCAGGCATTTTTTACAAAGAGATAACAGGTCGAGAATGCCACCACCCATAGATGTCAAAAGTCGAAGGATAACAGGAAAAATAGAAAGAAAAAAAAAAGTCAGATTAAACATAAAAGAGTACCTGGCAGTTTGTCTTTTTCAAAATGCAAGAACCATAAGTGATATTATAACACAGGGAAAAGAATGAAATGGGTCTTTGGTCCCTTTAAGAGAATTCATTTCAGCCAACAAGAAAAGAGATGAATATACTGACTTGCCGTTATTAGGTTTCTCTAGGACTTACCTCAATGGCTTTGTTTCTAGACTTCTCAGAAAATAGAGAAAGGACATCATCTACTATGGATCGAATATCAAATGGGACAGCTTCCAGTTCTAGCTTTCCAGCTTCAATTTTTGCCCGGTCAAGCACCTCATTTATCAAAGCTATCAGTGCCTTTCCACATACTTGAGCAGTTTGAGCATAGTCCCTCTGGGTTGAACTTAAATCTGTATCTAGTAGCAAACCAAGCATTCCTGCAATGATGCACAGACCACAGCACACATTACAAAAGTACAAAAATCAAGAACATTTTTCATATTCCAGAAAAGATGAGGGAGAGATCTTGCATACCAAGGATGCCATTCATAGGCGTTCTGATTTCGTGCGATACAGTAGCTAGAAACTGGCATCAAGAACACAATGATACTCAGGTAAGAAGATGCTACAGCTAGAAAAAAGGGGGTTTCAGTTATCCTTTACAGCAATGTTGGGAAGAATACCTGGGATTTGGCAACATCAGCAGCTTCTGCCCGGACTTTCAACTCCTGCATTTCATGGAAATCATCCTCAACTTTTACAATATGAATTGCTGCACCATATAAGATGTAACCAACTAATAAACCGATCACAAAGAATAAGAAAGCTGTGGTCAGTGCTGTCCATGAAGTGGGTGCCTTCTCATGGTACCTGCTCAGATTTCAAATTATAAGCATCTGTATGCTGGAAACTCACTCTTCAATTTATCTTATGAAATGATGATCAGTGATTAGGTGAACTTACCTGCATGTCATCAGATGCTTTCTGAATGGATCTCCAAAATCAAGCTTGCTTTCATGCAAAAGAGACATGTCACCATCTTGATTTTGGTGACCATACATGATTAAAAGGTCAGAAGAGTTAGTTATGTCATAAACATTCACCAAAATTGCTTGATTCCCAGCAAGTTGTCCAAGTAAATTCTCCACAAGGGACTCGACATCAAAGGCTCCACCAAGGTATCTGCTCTCAATTTGAAATCTATATTAATAAATAAAACCAAATTTTCTACCAGATAAATGAAACAACCAAACTGTAAGGGATGAAGCATTGCAACTTGGAAGCCCAATTAGCCAGGAAATAAAGGTGAGATGGACAAAATTCCAGCCATATTATCATACACTTCCACAAGCCTAAAAGAGCATTGCCAGTATGACTTCTAAATGCTAATAGTGAAATGCAATTCTATCAGAAGTTTTAAATTGCCATCTCTAGACAGCTCAGTAGTGGTAGACTTGAAAAATTGGAAGTTGGTTGGTCATGGTGAAGAGCCAACTGGCAGATAAACACAACAAAAATATCACTGAAATTCAGATTTAGTATAGTCGAAATAAAATTCATCATGTCCATGTGGAAGAAACAAACCTCAATCTAAACTAACAACTGCCATAAAAATGATTTTTTACAATAACAACTGCCAGAAAATGATTTTTTCATGTCAAATGACAAGCATATGGAGTAACAAAGGATTTACCTTGCCAAATGTTTTAAGATATTTTACAAAAATAAAACAGCCGAATCATCTTGGAGCAACAAAACTGTATATTTGAAACAGAATGAAATGATTTCTTCTTTTTCTCAAATACAATATTTTAGGTCTGCAGCATTGCAGCAGGAAGATAGGAAAACAAGGAAAAAGAAGATGAAACAAAGGGTCATAATGTCAAATATATTATGTGCCAACCTATCAAATCAATGGCTCCAATCAAATAATCTCATCGCCACTAACCACATACCAAAAGGCTAAACTTTTAAGCTCAAAATTAGCATCTAAAGTAAAACTGCAGCAGCACTAAAGAGCAAAACTTTTTGAGTAGCATCATAGAACCAGATTTTGTTGAATCTTATAGTCAGCCTATAAATTTCAAAACGAAATAGAATTTGATTGAAAATGTTAGCATAAACCAGCACTCACCCAGCAGTTGCTTCGATGCGCTGTGCCACTGTTGGGCTTGGAGGAAGCTTAGACTTGTAAACAGGGAATGTCAACACAACACCAAGGTGATGAGAACCTAGTAACCTAAAGGGGCTCGTCAAAACAGCTTTCCCTGAAGCCCTAGCCCTCAGTATGTTTTCTCTGTCCTCCTGCATCATGCCAAATAAAAATTATTAAAAACTAGATACCGAAACGTAAATGATGTAAACAAGCTAACCAAATTCAAGCCACAGACTCTAAAAATTACCTCCCCCGACATCATATCAAGAGACTCAATGTAGGAGACCGTCTCTTGAGAAAATATTACAGGTGCATACTCATCTCGAATGGGTGAAGGCTCCTTCTCCATTGTCTTTATTGTCCACCCATGTTGCCTCTCAAATTCCTGCCTCTCTGAATTAACCACTCTTTGTGCATAGGCTACTCCACTCAACAGTGGCCTCTCAAAAGCAGTTCTGGCAGTGTACTCAGCAAAGGTTTCCTGCATTTTTGTCAAAATCAAATCTCAACAGAGAACACGGTATAGAAGGATAAAATATTTCTTTTACTGGAAAGAACTTCCTACTCCTATACAAACAATTGACAAATTCATTTTGTATTTTTTCCCCCATCTTGCAAGCCAAATCGCAGGGAAATGTAAGTTTCCAAATTTAATTTCACCATAATTTGTTGAGGAACAAAACAGCCTAAACAACTTCAAAGCCGAAAAAATGAAGAACAACATTTCTTCTGAAATCAAAGTTTAATTTTTTGTCTTTTTCCCCAGCAACCATTTAGAACCTTCAAAATTCAACTAACAAAAACAGAAATCAAAGTTTCAAGACAAAGAAAGGAGTACAAACCTGGTCAATTGCAGATGGGTTCTTATAGTAATGAAAAGTGGAGACAAGAATGGCAAGGGCATGAACATGGTTCACACTAACATTGAATTGATCTTGCAACATTCTTGCCCTTTGATCACACATGCTACTCAACACCTCCTTCCTCCGCACTCGATTATCAGCATCCATGCCATTGTATATTGTTAAACTAAAAAGTGCCATAGCCATGACCCAAATCAACAAAACCTTAGGAAGCCAAGTCCTGTTGGCTTGTATAAATGTATACCCTCTTTTGGTCCCCATTTGCTGCTCGTTCACCTTAACAGCCACCGAGTGGTGGTAGCTTTGATGTATCTTCAACGCCATGGATGGATTCAAGCACAACAAGAACTAAAATTTCTCTCTTTCTTCTTAATTTTCTCTTTGTTTCTCAGATCCCCAGTTCATATCCAACCAAGAAAAAACCCAATAACACGGGGACACAACAGAGCCATGTGTGTCTGAGGTTAGTAAGATTCTTTAAACAGGCAGCAATGTCGCAGCTACCCTTTTTTCTTCTTCTGATATACAAAGGAAAGGGACACTGCTGGTGCTTAACTACAAGTAAATTATCATTTACAGCATTGTTTTGCGTGATTCGAACAAAAGAAAAAAGCAAAATTTAGAGACATGAGAAATAAACAAATTTCTCTCACTCTCACTCTCTCAGAAACCCCATCTCAAGAACTGAAAGAAAGAGACGCTGAATTGAAAAGAAAGAGTTCTCAATTGTTAAGAGAGAAGCATGAAGAGTCTCAAAAGGTGGAAAACAGCCCAAATTCCAAAGACTGTCTCTTTCATTTACTTCTCAAAACAGACTGTTTTGAGTAATAAAGAAAAAACACTAATCATTTTCATCTCCAAGCGTGAAGATTTTTATTTTTAAATTTCACTTCTTTCTTACTATATGTGTGGGAGGGAGGGAGAGAGAGGAGGCAGTGTGAGTGAGAAGAGAGGCAACAAGACAAAGAAGAAGCACGTTCACTGCTGTTTGTTTAATAATATAAAAATTAGCAGTACTAATCTACAACTCCAAGCACAGATTGACCAAATAACACAAACAGCGAAGCACAAGCAAGCAAAACGCTTTTTAGACAGGGAAAGAGATAGGGTTGTTGAAAGAAGGGAACAAACTCAATCAACAATGGTGGGTTTTTCTGTAGTAGAAGAGCAGAGAGAGGTGGAGGTGCTTTGAATAATGGCAAAGTACACGAGTTATTTTTATTTTAACTTAATTAGGACCACCTTAATCCTGGGTTTTGTATGTATTTTATGTATATATTTATGATATACTGTTTGTATATATATAAGCTTTTATCTGTCCTTTGCTTTTTAAAGCAAACTGAATCGAATTTTTAGGATTTTTTCAGATACGCTAACTCCCCCTTCTTACACAATCTATTAAACTATAACGTATGAGTTATGACCCTCTCTCTCTCTTCTCTGTCTTTCTTGTTTATTTTATTAGTGCATCTCACACACCATGCTTTGTCCCCCTTCTTCTTCTCTGTCTCTCTGTTCATAGTTTGGAGTTCACATTGACATTGATACGATTTCTTTGTTCGTATTTTTTGGGCTAGAATACAGCAAAGAGGTGCATTTTCCACTTTTTTTCTTTTTCTGTGATTGGATTAAAACATTTATTGGGATGACTTTTTTTTCTCTACTAACTTTTGCGTAATCTCTACCTTAGGATCTATAATCTCTAAAAGTTTTCAATTTAACATGAATTAACTCTACTAATTAAGAACTAAGTTGACATAATGTATTATGGGGCTGGCCTCGATCGTAATTAAAGGATAAATATATTGCGGTCATTAAGATTTAAATGCCAAGTTAAGTAATGGTAAAAAAGCAAAATTCTCAATCCTAAAAAATAAAAAGAAAATACCATCTGATGAAAAATTAAAAACAAAAAGTTGGCTTCCATTGAAAAGTGTATTTATCATGAGTTTTAGGGTAATTATTTTTACAAATGAAAAGGAATAAAAAAAAGTAATCATTGTTAAATAAACTAATAACTTCTCTTCTATCCAAATTTTGTGTTTTCCACACTATCAAGATCACATGACGTCCACTTCAATGATGGAGTTATTGTCTATCTAATTACTTTGTGTTTGCTAATGTATTTGCATTGGATTTGAGAGTATTTTTGAAAATATTTTTGGGCTTTATTTATTTATTGAATTTTTTTGAAAGTTTTTGATATACTAATATGGAAAACATTAAAATATACATTTTCACAAAAACATATGAATTTCATTGCCAAACACACACTTAATAAATAAAAATTTACTAATTAATTCAACTTAAAAGTATCGCATCCTTTAACCATAGTATTCATCAATTTTTATTTATTCCTTCGAATAATATTTATAAGGTTCTGCTTTCTTGTCAAATGCCATCAAGTTCGATGACATGACAGATTGACAATAAGAGAAAGAACTATGAAACCGACTTGCCATCCAAAACATGTAAGAATTGAAAGAAACCATTATACAATGGTGTGGTTGAAAATTAAAGATCTTGTTTGATTATGATTCTAAGAATTTCGTTTTCTTTTTATTTATTTACTTATTTCTTTGAACTACGTGTTTTTTTTTCTTTTTTATATCTCTCTCACTGCAAGTACTTGATAATTTCAAATTTTCTTCACCAGGTTTGATGTTTGTCAATTACCCATCCAATAATTTAAGAAATTTCAGCCAACACCATACTTCCAACTATCATTTAATGTGAAGAATTATTTTTATGCTATCCATTTTATAATTTCAATTTATCATTTAACCACCCATAATATTTAATTTTATTTCACTTGAGCAATCTGTTAAATTTATTGGAGAATTTAACGGGAAAAAGATTAGATTCTCACCTAAAAATAATATTCCGTCCAAAAAACAAACCACAGACAACAAAAATATAAAGAAAAAATCATTCTATGAAAAAAATTTATGGAAAATCATGAATATTGATTTCGTAACTCCATTGTATTCTATAGATGATTAATGAGAGAAAAGAAATCCAAATTTGCTATAAAAAAAAAAAAAAGAAAAAAAAAGAGGAAGGAGGTCTAAATATCACATTACAATCGCAAATCTTTGGGATAATGACACCCCGACAAGGCAATGGATCTCATTCCCACCCAATTTTTCTTCATACCCTTTTTTACGACTCTACCCTCCTACGTCACCATGTCCATTGTCCAGTCTCATGTTCTATATTTTCACCAATTTTTTTTTAATGATAAAATAGAGAAAAAATGGTGCACGCATATTCAAATTTTCATTTATCGAAGAATTCACAGCGTGACAATGAACTATAGCTTAAATGGGATTAATATTTTTTCTTTATACTAAAAAATAATAATAAAAAAATAAAATTGAGTTCAAACATCTACTGTGTAAAAAAATAAAGAAGAAGAAAGAATTCAGAGAGTAAAGAATACTTTTAGGTGAGTTGATTTGTGGCAAACATCTTAGTCAAAATCTAAAACCTAAATCCTCATTAATCATTATTAGCTTGCCAAAATAAAATAAATGGAACGATCCCAAAGAAACACGTTGAATATTTATTTTCAGTTCACACTTCACAGACAATGTGCAAGTGAACCTACTCTCTCTCTCCATAGTCTACAGCAAGAATTGACCATGTAGCTAGGGTATCTTATTTGGAAGATAAGGTCCGGTGTCGTTTTAATGACTCAAGATCGAAACCCCTCTTCTATTCAAAACGAGACAAAGAAATAAGAAGCCTTTTAATAATAAGAGATAGAATGATTAAAATAACATGCGGTTCAAACATAACCTCTTTCATTAAAGTGAAAAAAAAATGGAAACTATTTTTACTGATTTTTCAATAGACTGGAATCCATGGAAATTAAAATAAAAATTTTAAAAATGCATTTTCACCCCCCAAAAATTTTTTTTTAATCAGTCACATATAGATATCTTATATTTTTCAAAAAATTAAAAAGATTAAAAAAATATTACAATAACAAACATTATGAATTGTGTAAATTTAAGATGATATTTTTCTTTTAACCTCGTCAGTCTCATTTTAGTTGAGGCCTGATAGTCAATACTTGAGAGACTCAATTAAGATTCAACAAGACTTAACTAGCGCATTAGTCTATGGATAATCTAAATTTTATAACTTGTTTATATTTTAATTGATTTGAAATCATAGTGCGTAGAATTAATGCTAATTTGTTTTTACTAAAAGAAGAGGAAATGTAATTGAGAGTCAAGCAATTATGGGATTATTATTTTTTTAACCAATTTAGATATTTATGAAAAAGCACGTATAAAAATTGCAGAAGGCTTGTCAAAAAAAAAAAAAACCCATCTAATTTTTAAAAGTTCAAGCATATGAGCTAAAGATTCTGTTAAGTGTATTTTTGCATAACAATCTTACAGAATTTATTTATCAAAAAAAAAAAAAAACAAAATCAAGAAGCAAGTGAATTCCATTAATAATTCTCATAAATTTAATAACTGATATTTCGTTAGTAATTCTTATAAATTTAATGATTGATATTTTTTTATAAGCATGCATATTCTATAAGACAATTATATATAAACAAAATAGCATTACTCATTTTAATTTGATTGTTGTATTTTTAGAAAATTTATTGTTTAACGCAATTTCCTCTTCGGTGTTCCTCATGAAAGTTGTAAAAATAAAATTGTTCATCGTGAGATAAGAAATAAGGTTCGATACTGCCTCCTTAAATAGAGGGCGGAATTAATAGTTCAGTGTTGGCTATAAAAGAAAAGAATTTCATTTTCACCTGCATGCAGTAAGCGGAGGAGTAGTTCGCTTCTAAAAGACTAAAACAGGTGGTTTACAGGTCGAGATGTTCAGCCTGCATCCAGCCTATTGACTATTGAGCATGCACAATTTGATCCCAGACTCAGACCAAATCCTATCAGGTATACTAACAGGTACTTAACGTATTAGGCTAGCTAAGTTGGGTACCTTCCGGATATCTGACTGATTGAATCCCTGTAAAACTCATGCAAACAAATAAGTCATGTTCATGTGATTCCGTTTATCCTCCACAGAACCATAGCTTGCCCTAGCTAGCGAAACGGCTATATATGTTGATTAATTTTTTTGTAGAGAGAAGTTTTTTATTTTTTATTTTTAACCATGGGAAGTTTTGAAATATTTACGTTCACGCGATAATCACAAACGGAAGTAATATTCAACGAGGCAATTTACAGTTTCAACTTTTTTATATGCTTAAATATCTCAATGTTTTATCCCAGATTAAAAAAAAAAAAATTGTTATACATCATCACAATTCAAAAATATATTACTTTCTC